TAGGCTGCTGATTTCCATAGGAATACTTGGAAACATACTGGGAGTCTGCAGTCTTTGGAGGGGCAGATTGTAAAGAGATACACTTGAGGTTTTGGTGACTTGGACCAGCATAATGTGTGTCATGGAAATAAGAGAAGGAAAAGAGATTTTTCTTTCCTCTTGAATGATCCCTGATGCTTTGAGGTTTGGATGAATTTTTTTTTTCTGGATCTCTTCTTGATGTGGTTGGCATGTATTTGATTTTAAAAGAACTTCTCTGAAGATATAAAAGAGAAAGTAATGATCATCTGCTAGGAAAACCATGCACATATGCACTTTCATGTTGAGAAGTTTAATTTGAATAATGTCATTTGGATAAGAATTGGTGGCTTAAGTAAACAAAATTTTCAGACTTTTTTACATCAAAGTCATTGTAATATAACACTTTTGGAAAGTTAAAAAGATTAGTGGTTATTCTGGACTTAATTGTTTTCTGCTCTCTTTTCCTAAATGATTATTTAGTTGTTTTGTTTTGGCATTTTGTCTATTGTTTCACTTCAGCGTGGCAAGCAGTGGATTTGGCTGTACTATCCATTTAATTCCTGAGGTACCTGTCACTGCCTGCTGAAGAAAGACATCATCACATAAAACTTATGTCAAGGGAAGTACTGCTGTTACTTTCCAGGCTGACACATAAGAAACAATGGTCAGGTCAGCCTGTCTTTATGAGATCTTAGAAGGATGTGTAAAATATGGCTTGCAAATGCTCATACACCAGAATCCAAGGCAAATGTGCTGCATAAAAAGCTAATAAAATTGTTCCAGAGTGAGTGAAGGGGACTCACTGCTGTTCAGACTAGGACAGGCTTTGCATATGTGGTTCCCAAAATAGTTTTTCAGTGTCATACAGTTATAGACTGTGCTTTGCCATGGAAGTTTAAATTGCATTGATTCTGTCCTGACTGGCTTGGGATGTCTTCAACACTTGTCAGCAGTGAGTGTGACTGGCAGAATCCAAAGTTTGCAAAACTGAAGATAGCAAGCACTTTATAAAACAAGCATAATTTTGTAGTCATTATAGGCATCTGTATGATAAAAAGAAAATTAAACACATGATTTTAATAGTCATGATTCAAAAAGAGACAAGATAAATTTAATAAGGCTGTAGGGCTACTGAGCGGAAAGATGTCTATGGTTGAAAAACTTCTGTGGGTTACAGAGGCCTGAAGACAAATGTTGAGGAGAACTATCTGTTATATTATGCTTTCCTGATTCTAGCTTTCTTTCCAGCAGGATCAAAATGTAATCTGCAGGAAATACCATACTAGGTTAGATAGCTGGAGTCTTGTTCCTACAACTATTGAAAGATTTTGGCACTAGTAGATGGAAAAAAAAAATCCCTACTTTTGCTTCTTCAGAAGCAGGTCAGAGACATGATTTGAATTGCAACTGTGTGGCTGTGTGATTCTTTGCAGGTGTTGTGAAGTACATGCTACCTTCACTCCCAGTGTGAATTATGTTGTATTCTTGGAAAATAGATTTCTTCTATCATATCTACATACTACCATAGTGCAGTTTTCTTTCTTTTGGATTGCAGCTTCTGGTTTAGAAATAAAGAACTGTTGACTGTATGAAGGAAACTCTAGATGATTGCAAGTCATGTTAGGGAAGCTTTTGGCAGGCCTTTAATTTGTTTAAGCAGAGGATCAAATACAGTCATTACTGCTGTAGTCTTTGCAATATTGCCCTGTGTTTGATCCTTCTGGTTGTCATTGCATTAGAACCCTTGTCAAGGTATATTTATGTGCAATGACTTTCTCAGTGCACTTTTTAAATTGGCGAGGAACTGGTCTCTGGAAACCAGTGTTATGCTGTGCTTTAACTTTTCCCTATGGCATTAGGGAAATCAGCAGTCTTTGAATTTCTGTGATTCTAATATTCCATGTAATCGTTTAGGTTGGAAAAGCCCCTTACAATCGAGTCCAACTGCAAACCCAGTGCTGCCAAGTCCATCACTAAACCGTGTCCCCAAACGCCACATCTACATGTCTTTTAAATACCACCAGGGATGGTGACTCCACCCCTTCTCTGAGCAGCCTGTTCCAATGCCTGAACACCCTTTTAGTGCAGAAATTTTTTCCTAGTATCGAACCCAAACCTCCCCTGGCACAACTTGATGCTGTTTCCTCTTGTCTGTCACTTCTTACTTGGGAGAAGAGGCCAACTATGATCTCCAGGCTGAACAGCTGCTGCTCTCCTAGCCTTTCCTCTTTGGAGAATACTTAAATACTGTTATGTTTTAGCTTTGGCATGTGTACATGAGTCTGCAGTAGCCAAATCTAGCCTACTCAAAGCTTTGTTTTGCACTGAAAAAAAAACCCAAAAGAAAATATATATAGTGTCAGCTAGTCTATTTGAAACACATTTAAAATTACTAAAAAGTACCTCCTGCTTTCCCCTTATCTGAATGGAGAGTCTCAGTGTTCGCAATAAGGAAAAAAGCTAGTTTTGGGGCTGTATGCAGTCAGAGAAAACTCCACATAAAAATATAATTACAGGCAGAACTGTACCAAAGCAAAGCAGCAACTATGGTTTTTTTTCCTTTCTCTTAACTTCTAGTTTTAAATTCTTGAAAGGCATTAAAATGTTTTAAAGTTCAAGTAGATTTAAGTGATAAATATCTACACTTACATCAGGCTTTTCACAATTTCTACAGAAGTGTGCAATTGTAAATATGTTGCTGCGATGTGTACTGAGAGTTAGTAGCTTACAGTGGGTAAAATATTTTGGTTATGCTCTTTGAGGTGGGCTTATATTTGGGGTAAATAGAACTGCTATTGTTAATAGGGAGCCTGGGAAGAATTCACTTTGTGAAAACAACCCATTGCAGATATGACTATCTTGCAACTCTGCTGTTATTTGGTTTCACTGACTTCCTTTCCCTCTTCCCTCCCCCCCCCAAAAAGATAAATTCTCTTTTAGAGGAAATCCTGTTTATTTGCTTTAAGGAAATAATTTTTCCAGTTGCTCTGTTTAGTTTTGTTTTCTTTCTATTAATCTGTTGAGGAGTGCTGATACCCCTTAGAATTTTATTTTCTGCCTCTGTAGTTAGAGTTTTTGATGCATAAGGAGTTGCTGGTAGTGGCAATACCATCTAAATGCCTTTCAGTACCTGTCAGTAGTGATTTGATTCTCAGCTGCTGCAGGTGTTTCTTGTTCTTTGGCCTCTTCTTGGGATGGAGCATTTAACAAGTACCCTTCCCTTTTATCTTCTGCCTTTCTTCTACCACAAACCTTGTTGCCTTAGTTATGAAATTAATTTGGGGCAGTAATTTCTATAAAGACCACAGTCTATTACTCCAACTCATGTTACAGCTTGAGAACAATTGAAGATATTCTGGAAGTGCTGCTTCTTGGTTTTGCTTAACTTCTTAAAGGAATGTAAAAAGCAATTAGTGAATCACTGCAAATACACGTTTTTCTTTCTCTTCACCCTGCCCAGCTACTAGCTTTAGCCATTTATTTTTTTATTTTCTTCTGGCAATTTTAATATCCTTTCTTCACTCCAGTTAAATTCATAATCATCTCTCAAATCTAAGCATGTTAATTTAAGCAACTTTCTGTGGAGGATGATTCTCTAGGACTGGCTGACAGATTAAGTGGTAGTACCTTGGTTGTGAAACAACCTACATTTGCACATTCTCCAGTTGTTTCCCATTAAAACTTAAATCCTTGTTCTGTTGTGGCACCTTTAAAAAGCAGACCTCTCCCTTACATCTAAATGTTATGAAAACCAGGCATACTGTAACCCAGAACCCCAAGGAATGCTTGATTGAAATAACAGATCAGAAAAGTCTCTTGCTAACATTCCTGTGATTATGGGTTTACTCAAGTGACAGAAACTTGGTGTCAGCTAGCTTTCTGCATACAGATTAATTTTGGTCAAAAAAAACAAATAGGTCTTAAAGGCTTCAGTGATGCAGTGTTTTTGGGGATAGGTAACTTCTTAAAATGTAACAGTATTCACTGCATTTCCTCTCTCTAGAATTGTCCCACTTATTGCTCATTGGGTGGTTGGCCTGGTTCCTGCTGCAGAGTAGAGCAGTAATTAGCTAGTAACTAGCAGTAATCCCTGCTAGTAATTACTGAGATTGAGTAGAATGAGTGAAGGGAAACAGGAGTGACTTCTTCTTAGATCCTCACAGGAAAACAAATAGCTTTGGTTTAGCCAACTCTGTTCTTCTGTAGTATCCATATAGGTTAATTTTTAGTATGTATTTGGATTTCTTTTGTTTGTAACTTGTATCTAGAATTTGACATCCTGCATATATGTCTCAAGACAGTGATGTAAGAAATTAAAACTTTTAAGTTTAAAAAACTTAAAAAGCTTTTAAGAAAGAAAAGCTTTTATGGAAGAAAATAAGAGAAGAAGCATCCATAAGTTATGATTTACAGTTAAAACCCCTCCACCATTAGTGAGAAGTTAATTTTGAAATGGTCTATTACATCATGCAATGAGTATGGTGAAGGAGAAAACAGATACCTTGCTTTCATTTTCAGTGACCAAATGACTTGAATACATGATGTGAACACATAAGACAGAAATCTAAACTAATTTAATATATTTTGAATGTAACCAATTTTCTTGATCTGTGTTAGAGGTATTTGAATGAGTAAACTGAACATTTAAGTTCCCCTAATGTTTTTAATCACAAACATTTAATTTTCAACAGAGCTTAGCAAATATGTACTTTATGAGAGGCCCTGTGGCATAGGAGACTATTTGCAGCCTCAATACATGTGAAGATGCACATGCTAGAAGTTACAGTGCAGTGAATTCCTATTCTGGTGTGTACAAAATGAACATCAGCTGCTTTAAACCTAGTTTAAAGCTTCCTGGAGTTGTTCCAGGTTCAGATATTGAAGGTCTTTCTATTTCAAAGTTTGAACTCATGTTTGTTCTCTCTCTCCCCCCCCCCCCCCCCCCCCCCCCAACTTTCCACCTCCTTCTCCTTTTGCAGGCAAGGGCAGCTCAAGCATCTCATCCGACGTGAGTTCAAGTACGGATCACACGCCCACCAAAGCCCAGAAGAATGCAGCTACCAGTGAAGGTAGGCAGCTGGTACTCATTACCCAGGTCAGGCCCCCCAGCAGAATCCTAGCAGTTTTCAGAAGAAGAAACTCTCCTCCTCACTCCTTCTGTGTAGAGCAGCATTGGTCTGCTAGAAATCCAGAGGCCGTTCTTCCTTTAAACAGTTTTCACTTCTGCCTGTGGGAGTTTCTGATTTGCATTTGTGACAAAGGATTTAAGTACTTCTGCAGAACCCAAATGTAGAGAGTTAGGAGTAATTTTGTATGCTGCTTTTTCAACAAAGGCCTTTATACTTAAGATTTTATGTGATATTATTTTGCAGTTATATGTGAAGGATATGTTTGATGTAAGCTTTTTGACATACAATTTAGGTCAAATAACAGTCAAAATTCTTTTCATATTGTAAACACCATGAAAATGTGAGTTGTTTGAGACAAGTTTTTCAAAGGTATAGCTGTGGGCATGCTGACCTGACAGATTTAATTAGGTCAGTACCCCTCACCTCAATTACTGGAGTATGCATCACTGAGGGCTGGATTTTTGATGTCCAGGGGAAGGAGATGTCATGTCTGTCAGTATCAGTACAATGTTGTGCAAAGTGGTCTATGAACAGAAAAATGCTGATTCTTCCCTTCTGACTTGTTACATGTGAGTAGGTGTGCCCTGTTAAATGGAAGTCTATTTGCCCTAGTTTTTATAATTGTGTCTTTTAAAGCTGAGAGGAAATAACTATATATAATTTAATGATGTAAGCCATAAGGCTTTGTAAAAATTGTATATTTATATGCCTTAACTAGTATTTCTGTTTAACTGTCATAATGATTTGGTTTTACTTGGTAGTAATTGAGTTATAATTCTGATTTCTTACCTTTCTGTCACTACAAATTAAGTTACAAGCTCTGATTGCTCTCAGTTTAGTTTTATTTCTTATGGTTAAAGGAAATCGGTCTTTTGAATAGTTTTAGTGTGGCAAGTCTATGACTGTAGAATCTGTTCAGTAAAAGCAGTTCATGTAAGTAATAAATGACCACATAAATCACCAGAGTCTCTTGTTGGGCATGCATAGTCCCATACCAGGAATGAATATCTGGCACTTATGAATCATAAGAAATACTGGTTTAGAATCGGTGCTTTTTAGTCCAGCCAATAAATTTAACAACAAACAAATAAATGGTTAATCACAAGTTGAATAGTGGACTTCATGTTTCTCTAAACCTTAGATTCAAAAGTTTTGAGGGATCTGAAAGAGGTGAATTACCAGGACACAAAAAAAAATTAGGAAATGTATTCTCTTTATGACAGCCAAGAATGAAAAAGAGAAGAAACCACAAAAGAATCGTGGAAACTCTGAAGTCAGTACTTAATAATTGCTCTGAGTTTCTTTTCTACTTCAGTCTATAAAGCATTTTTTTCCTTGGATTCAAATAAGATAATGCAAAATAATCCTGTACTAATCTCTATGATTTATGTTCTTAATTTAGCCCTTTATTGAGCCAGTGAATACGAATGTTGACCTTGAAATCTTCACTAGTTTGCAGCTGATTAATTCATTAGCGAGGGAGGCTTAAATGCAGGCCAGCAGTTGCTGTAGTAAAATTATGTTTTTATGAGTTCACGTGCAAAATCAGAGTTCAGAGCAGTGTCATTGTGTATTCTATACTTGGAGGCAATTTCAGTTGTTAGCCTAATTTTTCTGTGCCCCGGAATAGTGTGATTTGACGAATACTTATTTTGACAACAGATTCAGAAGTAGCTTCTTCCTCAGCCTGTGTTATTACTACTTTCTTACCATTTCTTTCTCCTGAAGAATTACTGTGGAGCAATTGAATAGAAATTACCTTAATGGGGATTGCTGCATAATCTGGCCGTTATTTTGAATGTCATAACCAGGGAGCATAAGAATTCTGTGAAGGCAAGTGAGATTAGAGATATGGAAGTAGCTGGAGCAAAACAGGCGCTGTTGAAACTGGTGCTGTTACTGAAGGCACATTTATCAACTTCTGTGCCTGGAGTTTTTACTAATGCTGCCTCTTTTCCCATATGAACAGTAGACATATACTGGAGGAGGACTCAGCTGGTAATAAAGACTCATACCTTCCACAAGACAACTTGAGTTCTGTTCTTACAGAATGCTGAATGTTTTTGTACCATTCAGTTACAGAGTAATGCCTAGGGGCCAGCTAAGAACAGGAGTCTGATTGTGTTAGATGCTCTAGGAGCAGTGGCACTTACATGTTTTGGAGTGGTTGCATAACATTTTTTAAACTTTTAGTTAAATTTTCCTAGTCCACTGTAGTATTTGCTTGCCATGGTACAATAGCATCTGCCCAGCACAGAGGGTTGTACGTGTATCTTTATTTTCACTGGAGGCTGTTTACTGCAGGGACAGAATGGTCCAATGCTGCCTATATTGTAAATTTACAGCCCTGTCTGTTGTTCTGTGAAGGAGCCATGTGTTGTGTGGTGAGCTGTATGCAGCCAGGTTTGGTGTGGGAAGGACTAGGATGCATTGCAGGTGAACTCTTCTTCACCTTCATTGCCATGGGAAATGATCCTGATTGAGCAAGTGACAGACACCTTCTTTGCATCCTCTGAATTTCTATTGCCAGCTGCTTTCCTGAGTGCCCAGCTCTGTGAAGAACATATTTGTTTGGGGCTGAAGGCCTTTCACAGCTTCTTTCCAGCTTTTTGAACAGACCTAATTCTTTCCAGTTCTGCACAGCTTGTCTTCTGTTTCTATAAGGCTTGTGTCAACACTTGCTGAAGCTGAATCAATGGAATAAATGCCTTAAAACAACTAGAAAGGAAATTTGTGGGAATGATCCATCTTATCTCTGGTAGTGTACAGCAGAGAAGCAGTCATGTAAAATACTACTTAGGCAGCTACATATTCCCAAGAACTGCAAAAGATGTCAAGCAGGACTGTTGCTTGGAAGAGCAGACCACCTCAGGAGGTATCTGACAGCAGGTGTCATCTTTCCATCAGTTTAAGCAATCAAACCACACTCTTCATCCTGATGACTGCAACCACGTTATCTGTCAAGTTTCAGAGCTCTGATGTTTCTCTACAGAATGGGTACCAGAAATAGGTAACAGGATGCTTGAGATGGCTTTTGTTGTTCCAGTTCTAGATATCCATTTAAGGCAACATCATTTAACTCTCTTGATGGGCATGGGTGGTGCAGTTAGGGCCAAAATAATGGTACCCTCTCTCACATTGTGGATTTAGAGCATCTGTAGAGCATCTGTTGTGGAATATTTTATGTCTCAAAGAGATAAAATGTTGGCCATGCTATTGAGTGTGTCTGGGTGAAGGGCACATCTTCCCCAGACAAGGACAGTGTGTGCTTGGTATCCTTAGCAAAACAAGCTTCACTCAGTGATGCATTGGAGAGGTAACCACTACTCTGTTTTTGTTGCATAGAGGAAAGCAGGCAGTACCTCGCAGACTGTGCAGCTTCCTAAATTCAGGCTTTTTGACATACCAGTGATCCACTTGAGAGGAATGGAGAGGGGCTGAAACTGGAGTCCAGTTGGCTTTCACTTTCTGTACTTCAGTGAAGGGAAGGTGGCAAAACCCAGAGATGTCTGGTCCTCTGTAAATCACAGGCTGGAGGGACCTGTTGGTTTGGCTACAGCTTGGCTCAGAAGGAAGCCTGGTAGCCTGTGGGTGTGCATGCACACTGATGCCTCCACACTGTCTCCTGAGGATACAGTTTCCTTCAGCTTTGAATATACACTGCCTTTTACTTCCTTTCCAGTCTCAGACATTGTCTGCAATTCTTTACCCTATCAATCAATTACAGTTGGAAACGTGAGAATGCATGAGTTTTTACTACCCCCCATTGCTCTCTGGCAAGTGAAAGACTAAATGGATTTTTGTGGGCCATTTAAATGCAATTTGCTAGACATAGTCTCAGCTGGAATATTATTGTCTGAAACTTGATTTAGAAGATTAGACTGAATGACTGTTTTTGTATGGGCTTACCTTGATCAGGGAGTTTTCTTCCAACTTACCTGCAAAGCGTGGAATGTTATGCACACTTTGTATTAACTTGACTGACTGTTTTTCAAATAAAAAAATCAATACTGTTTGCACTTCATGTATAGCACCGTTAAGATGTAATCCAGAGGCAGCTTTAAATTGAGTATGTATGAACTCAGTGTAGAAGTTCTAATTTATTTCTCAGTTTCTGTAAAATCAAATTGAAGGATTCGGTCTAAAGTAGAACACTATTTTAGTAGAAGGGCTCAGTGCTGAAGTACCTCTGAATATATCCCATTAAATTGTAGTATTTTGAGTTTTACAAAAACATGGTGAAGCCATCTGCTGTATTTTGAAGAAGTTAAATTTTTATTTGGTTTTAGTTGACTTACAGGGACCTTCAAAGTTTAAGAATTTTACTTTGTTTCTCCTTTTGCAGTACTCTGGCGATTCTAGAGTACACTGCAATGTATGTTTATTGTGGAGACCAACTGAATTTGTTTTGGCAGTAGCTGTTTGTATGCATCTTAACCAAAGAGGTGTTTCTTCTGCAGTTTAGGTGTGTACAGGAAGAGCCCTCCCTTTCATGGCTGTATCCTCCTTCCTGTTTTGTTTGGGTTTTGTAGTGTTTTCTGCTGGACTTAACATTGCTGGGTTTACAGTTGGACTTAATGATCTCAAGGGTCCTAAATTATTCAATGACTTGCAGAGCAGCAGGGCCTATAGCCTGGTGGGGAACAATTGCTTTCATTAGAAGTCATTCCCTCCATTAAACCATCTTGGGGGGAAATGTGTGAATATGTAGCCCTTTGCAAACATGTAATGCTTTAATTACTCATGTAAAAGTTCTGCTGTACCCTGTGCAAGATGATGGCTCAGTTGATCAGGCTGTGTTTGGGGCCATTGGCCATCCTTTTTTGGTGGGACCTGGCTACTGAAGCTTTTATATAGAAAACTTGCTTTTTCCAGAAGAAAATTGACCTCAGTATCAGAAAACATTTATCACTGTTCTACATGGGAATATATTAAGTGAC